CCCCAAAACCCCAAAACCCCAAAACCCCAAAACCCCAAAGATCTCTTGTGGTTAATAGGATGTTGAATTAATTTTATATATTAAATATAAATATCATAAAATAGTATCATCAATATGTACGTACTTTTTGAGACACCAGCAGGTTTCGCCTTATTCAAGGTATTAAAGGAGGGTAAACTAAAGGATGTGAGCAAACTTCACAAAGAATTCGAAAATCCAAAGAAAGCCGCAGAGATTATTAAATTGAAGGCATTCAAAAAGTTCAAGGACACAAAGGAGGCTATGAAATCAGTTGAAAAACTCCTTAAGGGAGAAATGAGCAAAGGCCTCAAGAAATTCCTCGACAAGAACATCGTTTAAAAGGGAATTGAAGAAGAGTTGATGATTTCAGACAAGAAGCTAGGCAAGGTCATTACTGAAAAATTGAACATTGAGTGCAAAGCTGGAGAGAAAGCTAGCGAGCTCATCAGATGTATAAGATTCCAAATGTCTTCTCTACTCGAAGATATTGACGAGAAGGAACTTAAGAACATGAGTTTAGGTCTTGCTCATTCCCTCTCAAGATATAAACTTAGTTTCTCATCTGAGAAAGTAGACACCATGATCATTCAAGCTGTCAGTTTGTTAGAAGATCTTGATAAGGAGCTAAATAATTATGCTATGAGACTTAAGGAATGGTATTCATGGCATTTCCCTGAGCTCGCTAAGATTGTTACCGATAACATTACCTATTCTCAAATGGTTGATTTGATCGGTCAAAGACAAAACGTCAAGAAAATTTCAGTTGAAAAGATGACTGAAATTCTTGGCAATGAGGATATCGCTCAAGAAATCAAGGAAGCTGCTGAAATCTCTATGGGTACAGAAATCCTTAAGGAGGATGAGGAGCACATTAGATCACTCTCAAAGTCAGTTTTCGAGATTTCTCAGTACAGACAAAACCTTGCTGAATATCTTAAGAATAGAATGGCTGCTATTGCACCAAATCTTACTTAACTTATTGGAGAACTCGTTGCTGCTAAGCTTATTTCTCATGCTGGTTCTTTAATGAATCTTGCAAAACTCCCAGCTTCAACTATCCAAATCTTGGGTGCCGAGAAAGCTCTATTCAGAGCCCTTAAAGCTAGAAAGAACACTCCAAAGTATGGTCTTATTTATAATGCCAGTATTGTTGGTGCTGCTAAGAATCAATTAAAGGGTAAAGTATCAAGAACTCTTGCCAATAAGTGCGCTCTTTGCGTTAGATATGACGCTCTTGGAGAAGACGTTGATGGTAACCTCGGTATGAAAAATAAAGCTTATCTTGAGGGTAGAGTTAAATTGCTTGAATCAGGAGGTAAAGTTATTCAATAGAATGGAGGTGGTTAAAAGAAATGGTAAGCCAAAGCTGAGAGCAAAGGATATAATGCTTCAAATGACTTCGTTGATAAGAACGAAAGCAAGAAAAAGAGACCTAGACTTGAATGATGCTGAATCTAGTTGCTATAGAGTTTTATCTTAGCAAAGAATGAACCCTCAAAGAATTAAACAATAATTTCCCTAATAATCATTCCTATATCATTGAATTTTAGCATTCAGGGGTTTTGGGGTTTTGGGGTTTTGGGGTTTGGGGTTTTGGGG